TTTGAGCCACTACCACTAAACGATTCAGCTGCAGATTTAGCTGTTGTTGCTGCTGCTGCTGAACCTCTGAAAAACTGCGATCTTTCTCCAAAGTTCTTAAAGTTCTCTCCCGATTCGTACTTTATAGCTTGAGCACTATTAACGGCTGCCGCCTTTTTGGATGAAGTATCTGCCGTACTCGCTGTCTGCACTCGCTGTTTGAAGTTGTTGAACGCATTCGAGTAGCTCTTCGCTTGACTGGGCAGTTTATTTGCCACCACTACCTTCTTCTTCATCTTCTTCTTCGTATTCTTAGCACCATCACCGGTGACGTCAATTGCCTGGTGGAAGAGGTCGGAGTGATTCTCGATGGACTGCTGAACGTTGACCTGCTGATTTGCTGACTTGCGATTTGATTTATTGGTAGAGGCAGCAGTTGCGGATGTTGAAGCCTCAGTTTTGACGTTTACGTTGCTGCGACTTTCAACTGCTGCATTGTTGTTATTATTTTTGGCAGTTTCAGTTTCAAAGTTGTAGCTGTCATCTGACTGGTAGTCTAGCTTTTTGAAGGCCTCCTTTTTTGGTGATTCGGTAGCTTTTGTTGTTGTTGTTGATTTGGTAGCTTTGACTTTGGAAGTGGAGGATTTTTCCTTAAAAGCTGAAGATTTTTCCTCACCTGAAATAAGATTTTGTGCTGTTTTGCCTTTCACTGATGACTGCTTTTCCGTATTTGACTTTTCAACTCCTTCAACACTCTTTTCAGTAGACTTTTGGTCAGCAATTTTGGTGTCAACTTTTGTGAGTTCTGATTGTTTGTCGCTGCTGCTGCTGCTTTCATCGACTTTACTTTTGCCTTTTCCTTCTTCCGCAAAGTTGAACTCCTCATCAGAATCGTAGTTGAGCTTTTGGAAGAGTTCAATAGTGGTGGAAGGACTTTCCATGATTGATTTTTCAGTTATCGGAGGGAAAATTGGAAGTTTCGGTACTTTTGGGGAAGACGTTTCAACTTGCTCCTTTTGCTTCTGAATACTTTCTTCCTGGCCAAAGGTCATCTCATTTTGGGTGTTGTAGTCGAGTTTTTTGAGTGACGACTTTGAGGTAGTGGTGGATTTCGTGCCCGACTTTTTAGTCGTTGTTGGCTGTTTTAGAGCTTTTGATGAAGATGAAGTCCTTATTTCCTTTTGAGTCTCATCCTGCTCAAAGTTCATCTCATTTTCTGACTCGTAGTTGAGCTTTTCAAAGGGCGATTTTGAGGTAGTGGGAGAAAGATAGACTGGTTGTTCAGTTGAAATTGGTAGTTTTAGTGCTTTTGATGACGAAGTTTTTATTTGTTTTTGATTTTCCTCTTGTTCAAAGGTCATCTCATTTTCCGTGTTGTAGTTAAGCTTTTCCAGAGACTGTTGAGTTGTGGTAGTGGAAGATTTTTTGACTGATTTTTTAGTTGTTGAGACTGTTTGCTGCTTTTGTTTTTGAGTTTCATCTTGCTTAAAATTGTCTTTCTTTTCCAACTCAAAGTTGATATTTTTAAATGATGGTTTTGCTGTGGTGGAAACTTTTGACGATTGTTCAGTTGAAGCCGTGAAAATCGGTACTTTTGAAGATGCGGTTTCTATTTGTTTCTCCTGTTTTTGAGCATCATCCTGCTCAAAGTCGAATTCCTGGTCAGATTCAAAGTCGAGCTTCTCAAAGAGGTTAGTTGTGCTTGATGTACTTGGGATTGGTTTTTCAGTTGAGGGCGTGAAAATCGGTAGTTTTTGGGATGAAGTTTCAATTTGCTTCTCATTCTTTTGAGTGTTCTCCTCCTGCTCAAAGTTCATCTCATTTTCAGTGTTGTAATTTAGTTTTTCAACAAGTGATGGTTTGGGAGTGGTGGAAGTTGTGCTTAATTTTTCAACTGTTAAAGTTGTGAAATGTGAAACTTTTGAGGATGAAGTTTCTGTTTGTTGCTCCTGTTTTTGAACATTTTCATCCTGTTCAAAAATCATCTCATTTTCGGTGTTGTAATCCAGCTTTTCAGCGGCCGTTTTTGGGGTGGTGGAAGTTTTGAATGTTGAGTGCTCAGTCGTGAAAATTGGAAGTTTTGCTGAGGTAGACTTTATTTGCACTTTCTGTCTCGTAGTTTCCTCTTGCTCAAAGTTGATTTCATTTTCTGTCTCGTAGTTGAGCTTTTCAATTTTGGAGGTAGTCGATTTTGTGCTCGATTGTTTAGTTGTTGTTTGTTTTGGTGATTTTGAGGATGAAGTTGTTATTATTTGCTCCTCCTCCTCCTCCTCCTCCTGTTTATTGTCCTCAAAGTTTATCTCGTTTTCAGAGTTGTAGTTGAGCTTTTCGAGTGACGGTTTTGCAGTAGTGGTAGAAGGTTTTGTTATTGGTTTTTTAGTTGTAGAAGTAAAAGTTGGTAACTCTGGCACCTTTGGCGACGAAGTCCTTATTTGCTCCTCTGGCTTTTGAGTTTCATACTGCTCAAAATTGAACGGCTTTCCCGTCTCAAAGT